AATACTGTTAATCGATATGCAGCTTTTCCGTACATTTCTACTTATGCCCCTACATTTTTAAGAGCTACGTGCGGCTTGTGAGCGTACGTAAGGCCAAAAACACAAAGGTGACAGCCGACCAACGTAATTCATCATCACTTCGATATTAATGGAATCGGAATTCGGAGTATTGTCAAATTCGGCAATTATCAATCAAGTACTCAAAAGTTTTAATACGCAGTGCGACTGAAAATTACGTAAGATATAAAAGAGCTACGTATATTTTTTCAATTCGACGAGATGTGCAAATTGAGGCCTTACAAGGCGCTACTGAACAGCACATAAAAATGTATTCTAAATCAAATCTAATAATAATAAATAGATTGAAGAAATTGTAAATATATTTTTTTATTAATATTTATACTCTTGCCCCATTAAGTAGCAAATTTGGGTGCTAAGCGGCAAAGAAAGTAAGAAATCAAACGAAATGCTCACGATATTTTTGATAAAACAACCTTTTACGAATTACAGACCCCTTGTTTTTTTTTGTTCACGATTATAAATAAGGTCATTCGGTACAGATGCCCCTGTACTGTGTTTAAAATTTCTCCAAATAGAGATTTGTAGTACAAATAGCTTAAAACGGTCCAGAGTTTTTTATCGAATTTTGAATATAGGTATACTAAAAGCTGTTGGAATTTGACAGAGTGTCGTTAGTCAGCAGGATTTAGAATAAGCATTTTCAAAATTTGTTGAACGTTAAATATAAAGCTCTGAGAAAAATCTTTCTCTGCCCTCCTGTCATTACTAAAAAGATCGATATGTTCCAACATCGATTCGCAAGGATTATAGTATCTTTGTCGTCTATTCTCCATGTAGATAACTGATCAATCGAGAAAGCACATATATAAATCGCAGTGAATCTTTTGTACCGAGTTTGTAAGCTAGACAGTACTTTTCTCTTAGCTAAACCTTTCTAAATTCTAACTGACTATAAGTTTATTCCCTTATCTAATTTGTTTTATATGTGCTCGTGAATAATGATGTGTAAAAATTTGTAATTGGTGGCCAATTAATTATTGGAATAAATTTTTTATAAAAAAAAGCTTGGATAAGATAATAGAGTTTTCAATGACCATTATAGCAGCCGCTTAATGCATACTTATTACTTATTTACTTAATATTTTATTTATTTATTTATCCAAGACATGAAAATTATGAAAAGGGAGGGACAATGTATAAAGTCAAACCCAGTAAAGTAAGCAACAAACCGATATTATTCCTTAAATCGTTAATTGATATCGAAAAATTTTAGTTTTTTATTTTCCACCTAAAATTAAACCACATTTTCTAAACTAACCGACGCGACGTAGTCCGCTTATATTATTGCACGGTACACTTTAAATATAAATGATGCATAAGCTTTTCACGTAACGATTTTATTCCTCCATTACTCCCGTATGAGTTAGAATGCAAATGCCCGTAACAAGTAGCCTTAATTTTCGTTGTCCGGTCCACCCAAATAAGTTTTGCATAATATGCCCGATATTAGGGTTTCGAAATGGCCGCCACTAATATTCGTACTCTTCGTCGGACCGACCTTAAATTACGCTCTATCTCTGGCCGGCCTATAACTTACTCTCTGGACTGTATCTGAACCGTTAATTATTAAAAATTTTAGTTTTTTATTTTCCACCTAAAATTAAACCACATTTTCTAAACTAACCGACGCGACGTAGTCCGCTTATATTATTGCACGGTACACTTTAAATATAAATGATGCATAAGCTTTTCACGTAACGATTTTATTCCTCCATTACTCCCGTATGAGTTAGAATGCAAATGCCCGTAACAAGTAGCCTTAATTTTCGTTGTCCGGTCCACCCAAATAAGTTTTGCATAATATGCCCGATATTAGGGTTTCGAAATGGCCGCCACTAATATTCGTACTCTTCGTCGGACCGACCTTAAATTACGCTCTATCTCTGGCCGGCCTATAACTTACTCTCTGGACTGTATCTGAACCGTTAATTATTACACTTCAAGAACATAATCGCTTTATGCGCTGTCCCACTGATTTACATTGGACGTATGATGGCGTTTGGTAGGACACTAACCAACATGCGCGTTTAATAAGATAAATTAACTAGACTTTGAAGTAGGTCATCAGATTTCTTTGGCAAATTAGCTTACACAGAAACCACTAAATACTAAAAGCCTCCAGACCCAGCTACCGACAAATTTTGCTAAACACCTGCCACTTTGTATATGAAATAAACATATTATCTTTACTATCTCTCATACAAAATTCAGCATATTAATATTATTGCAGTTCTGCCCCCTGCGGCTTTGGAACCATATTGAAAGTTTTCATTCTACATTGCGTCTGCATTTTTTTACGGCTGACTTATTCCGGTAATTAGTAATCCTATCCGTTAATTTTAAGCAAATTTCTAACTACCTATAGTTGGAATATTGTATCAAAATCGAAAGGAACATCACAATCATTTTAATTTAAAAAATATATATATCAAAGTCATTTAAAAAAAATAGACGTGGATGTTCAAACAGTGTTAATAGGGAATCTGTTTGGGGAGTCCATCTTTTTATTTTCCATTTAATTTTTTCTTATAAGCCCTCGAAGCAAACTTTTGAAAGTATCTTTGTCAATTTTTTTTCAACTTTTTGGGTAAAAAATATTGATAAATTAAAATGTTTGTAATTTTTAAAATGGTGTAATATCCGAAAATCACCCGACAAACCGCTATTCATACAGTAAGACGACAAATTTCCAAGATGCCTTCGCTAGCGATTTTAGAATTACCATATATCCGTAGTAGCGATTTGTGTTCAAACCTATTAAACGTACAGGTTGCGGTATAAATAGTGACTTTTATAAGAATCGCTTTTGAGCCGTCCAGTTTATGAAACCCACTCTATTTTCAAAAAGAACGAGTGGTTTTGAGTATTTCAGTTTGGTTGTTACAACTTATAAAACGGCAGCAGATCAGGTTTCGTTTAATACATCTTTGGCAATAAGCAATGAAAAATTAAATTGAAGAACAATAATATCACCAACCCGTAAAAAGTTAGGAAATAAAAAGCCAGTTTAAAGTCGCGAACTGTTAGAGTTTTTTAATTTCCAAAATGCAGGAAAAGTCAATTTCTTTTTTGCCATTGGGAACGGTTCCTGAAGGAGAAATGCCCCCAAACGCTGCCACTCTGACGCACCGACATTGCCGCTCTCATGGCTACTTAAAGACTTTTCGTACATTGCACCAATTATTTATTATATTTTTATAGAGAAAATTAAACAAATTTTATCCTATAACGGATTTTATTCAAAATAATAATCCAGAATTGAGAATATTTTTCTGAAATATCCTTTTATTTAATTAAGTTTCGAAAGTGCCCTTAAATATTGAGTAACAAAATTATTCATTAACACGAAACATGTTTTTTATACAGACAACAGTAAACTCTATTTACACGAACAATTTAAAACAATTACATACATAGGAGAACCTAATAAAAAAGTTTCAAAACATTTGTTTTAATGTGGTTTAAAAATAGCTTTCAGAACTAACAACAAATATTTAAAAAACAATAAAACGAAATGGCCAAAATCCCAAAAATCAGGTTGAAATGCGGATCTTGTCCTAAAATTCATATTGGACAAACAGGTAGATCCATCAAGAAACGCATTAACGAACAAACAGCCTTTAGATTGCAATTATGCTACACACTTAAACACAGAAACACATATTTTTGACGACAATTTTGATATTTTACATACAGCCACAAAAAGTAGAAAATTGAATTTATTGGAAGCCATGAAGATTAACAAAATGAGACATTCAAATGTATTGCTTAACGATCAATTAGATTTAAATACCTCTCCTTTATTGAACTTAAATTCTCGCAACAACATTAATTAAGGTTTTATGGTCATTTTTCGGTATATATAGTAGCAGGTAGTTTGTAAATATTACATTTGATAAAGACACGGTGTTGTCGAAACAATTGTCATGTCATAATATATAATTTCGTGAAAATCTGAACTTTTAGTTCTTATTTATTTTGATAAATGGATTTGCATCAAGTAAAAGTCACCTCAGTGTAATACTAATAATACACACTATCTGCCAAAAATCATCTATAGTGTAGATAGAACCAAAGATTTTTGATTCTCTGCCACCGCAAATTGCAAAATGGGTTGTAAATAGTGATTTTAGTATTAGTTAAATAATATCATATACTCCTTTTATTATTTATTTTATTTATTTATAGACTCAGTGACGTCATATTTCGAATATCATAGAGTGTCAAATAATGTGAATAATAGAGGATTTAGTGTTCTTGAATAGAATAATTTCATTCATTTCATGTAATCTGAATTATATTTTCCACTTTTCATGAAGAAAAAATATTCCAAATCTGATATTATTAATTTTTACGGTTTTTATTTAACAACAATTGCAGATTTAAAAATGCCGTCCAACAGGACTTCGACATCAAGGGGTAGTTACTTCAACGGTAACAATGTTGTTTTTTTTGTCAGTAACTTGCTAGCTACAAATTATCAGTACCGAATCTGCGCGATAGCATGAATGACTTTCATACGCAACAGTCACTAAATAAATTATTTTCTCCTTTTATTGTCCTGTCAGTTATCTACAGGAACAGATTTGTGAAACTTTGTTGTTATCTCGTATATCTGCATAATGAATTGTGTCTTAAAATTTATCAAAATTTGCATCCTCAAAAATGAACAAATAAAGTCCGGGAAAGAAGTTCTCATTCACTCTTTGACATAGAAAGAAATCATTCCAATATCTGCACCCAAAATAATGCAACCTCACTGAAACCGATTTTATATTACTATCTACAATTCCACGCGTCACTATTTGACATTTTGAAACTTCAGACGAGAACGATATTGAAAAATTTCTCCGCACTGTGTACTTCAACAACTAATATTACCTACCGCTCGTGCTCATAAAGTTTTCCTTTAATTCCAGACGTTCCTTTGGTGTCCTTAGAACTAGGAAGACCTTTGAACGGCAGCACTATCAAAGAGGGAGTCGACGTTTATTTCGAATGCAACATCAAATCAAATCCCTGGGTCTACAAAGTTAGCTGGAGACATAACGTAAGTTTAGTCAACAACTATTATTTGCCTTTTCCCCGGGAGTTCGAAAACTGATTCCCGTTTGTCAGTTTTGCTAGTTTGCAGTCAATTCCACACGCTCCGATACGAAAACTTTTTAGAATTTTGTTACTCTAAATGTTACCGCTTCGTATGGCAGGGAAACTGTTACTAATATACGCGAACATGATTCGGAAAATAGAAAGAGTGCGGTTTATTAAATTTGAATAAACATAAATCGTTTTATCACTGGTGACCGATGAACATTTAACTCGTTGCGCATATTTTGATGAAAAGTATTGGAAAGAAGCAAACTTAGAAAACAGCAAAACTAAGTGCACAAAAAATCGGCTTGAAAGAACGATAATTTTTTCAAATCCTCTTAACAAATATATGTTTTTTAAATCGATTTCGTTTTTTGGCAGAATACACTCAATTATGGCCGCTTATTTTATGAAATCAAAGGAGGCACAAATATAATTGTCATATCTATCTTATAGCGATTTGTAGATACAGGGTGATTTCGAAAATGTTGCATTTTTTAGTTGTAGTTCGGTCATGCGTTAACTTATCGAAAAGGTTGAAAACTGGCGCCGAAAGAGTTTTTAATTAGGCGTACTTAATTTTGTTCTGAAATTGACAAATTTTTCACAATTACAAGCGTATGAGTAGGCCATGAGAAAAATGGCTCTTGACATTTCGTAATTATTATTTTAATTTCTACATCCTCTTCTTTCTACTATAGCTCATGTTGAACCAAAATATAACAATTATGAAAATTAAACATAAAATATTATGTAATTTATGTAATTATGAATTTTTTATGGCCTACTCATAAAAAATAATAAAATTGGAGATCTATTCTTTTTATTTGAAATACCTCTCATGTGTTGTACATTTTCAATTAAAAAACAGAAAATTTATATATATATATATATATATATATATATATATATATATATATATATATATATATATATATATATATATATATATATATATATATATATATATATATTTCTTCCAGCTTTCATTTCACGAAAAAGTAGCCTTGGGTCACTTTAGCTTCACTGTCACTGTACTTTAAAAATAAAAACAAAAATTGCTTTCAAATGTTAAAGAAGAATCAGTACAATTTCATGGTTACGGATTAATCTAAGTAACTTTAATTACATCTCAAATAGAATTCGTCAGCTATATACAGCATGATTCATTCATGGACAAATACATATAATAACTGTTACTGTATAATTATGACCTTAAAATATTAAGATTTTATCCAGATCACTTAGATAAAATGTGGCAACTTACAAATTTGAAAACTATTTAGCCAAGCACTCTGTGCTGTGCGACAGCGGTAAATGGCTGGTTGATCCGCCCCAAATTCTATGCCACTGGCGAAATTGACAATAGTTTGAAGCACGATCCGAAATGATTACTTAACATCGTTCTGTGTTACAAAATTCTATAGTTAAAATAAAATCTTAGAAATGGTTGGAGATGATATTTAATCTGAAATATATAGGGTTCTAAATTTTGTATCTACTACACTTTTAGGCCTAAAATTTTAGTTGTTTGACAATAGGCCATTATCCAGTAACTAAGTTATGGGATTGTGGTCATTTAAATTTTATTACACTTGAAATTAACGCGAAATTATAATTATTAATTTGTATAGGGGAAACAACTGTATAACAATGTACAAGCTGGAACAGTAGTCACCAATCAAAGTCTTGTTCTACAATCCATCACAACCGCCCGATCAGGTCACTATACATGTGTTGGCCACAATCAAGAAGGGGATGGTGAAAGTAATCCCGTTCAGCTTGACGTAAAATGTAAGTATATAAGCCTTCTATATTTTTTGTTGTTAAATCATTAATATACTTCCAATTTTTCGTGAGTAGTTTTATTCTGCCGAGGCGCCCAACTTTTCTTTTTTGTAAAAAATTGCAAAGCGGGGCCCTATGAAATTGAGCAGGTAAAAACACGTCGATTTTGTGATTAAAATATTTGGATTTTTAGTTTTCACCTTCATAAATAATAAAATTATTAAATGGTCACCTACTAATTTGTTGGGCCATTTTGCTTGTCCTACATTTCGAAATTGTTTATTGGTCGATCAAATTTATTTCATTAATATACGTAGGACAAAAAACAAAATGGTAGAGTGGCATATTCTTGATTCAAATTAATCAATGTTCTACAAAAATGGCTTTTAGCGTTAATTTAACAAAAAACTTGTAAACTGAGAAAGTGCAAGAACGGCATGTGTACTATGAAATTGATGGACCCACGATAACAATTGAAATAATTGAACGATTACGTCGTTCTTTCATTAGTTCATTACAGTTAAGCTGTTTAATTCATATTAATGATTTAATTAACACGTATTCGATTGAAGGTCTGTTTTATTTTTTTTCTTTGTTTATAATATATTAAATATTTTCCGTGTTACAAACAGGTACGTAGGTAAATAAATGACTAAAAGTCTGTTAATAGATGGTTGTCCGTTTGGGTGGGTTGAGGGTAGTGGAATGAGAGGAGAGGGGTTAGAACAAACATAGATTTTGTTTTATATATATAAATTTTTGTGGGTTGATAAGGTCAATTTATATATATATATATATATATATATATATATATATATATATATATATATATATATATATATATATATATATATATATATATATATATATATATATATATATATGATGACACTATATTCCGGGATATCATCCGTTCGCTCGTTGAACTCCGACTGGAATCCTGCATCCGACTGGAATCCTGCAAATCTTGCATCCGACTGGAATCCTGCAGACGTTTCGCCAAAATCTCACTTGGCATCTTCAATGCTCGCGTTCCGAAAACACTTCGAACACTGTGTTTTCGGAACGCGAGCATTGAAGATGCCAAGTGAGATTTTGGCGAAACGTCTGCAGGATTCCAGTCGGATGCAAGATTTGCAGGATTCCAGTCGGATGCAGGATTCCAGTCGGAGTTCAACGAGCGAACGGATGATATCCCGGAATATAGTGTCATCACATTTTTCCATCCGTGAATCAATACGTGAGAATATATATATATATATATATATATATATATATATATATATATATATATATATATATATATATATATATATATATATATATATATATATGTTATATCCGGAAATCCTATTGTCCATATGGGTTAAATGCCACCGACCTGCAAGAGTGCAACGATTGCGAAAACGTCGTGTCAACGATATGTCGCAACATCCGCAGCCGTCGACCCCGTCAACGTCAGCATAAATTTATTATAAATACCAATTTCTATTGTAAAACGTTGTCTGATAACATTCTCTCATCACGAGGTTATTATGTCCATTTTTAGTTGTATTTTAACGGTCTGATAACATTCTCTCATCACGAGGTTATTATGTCCATTTTTAGTTTGATTTTAACGGTCTAATAACATTCTCTCGTCACGAGGTTATTACGTCCAATTTCATTTTGATTTTTATTTTAATTTAAAGTTAATAAATATATTTTTTAAAAAGTTATTTTTGAAAAGTGAAATATAAAAATTGGCGCAGTCAGTAGGATCCGTTCACGTTGCTAGAACACGAGTATTCTAACTAGTGACGGCGGATTCCAATCCCTTAGACGGAAAGAAGAACCATCGCAGCCCAGTCGTGCCGGAACAAGGAACCTTCCATCACCGTTTCGAGAGGCAAGAATTCGGAGTAGGATCTGTTCACGTTGCTAGAACACGAGTATTCTAACTAGTGGCGGCAGATTCCGACCCCTAAATCTAGGGAACAACGAAGACAGCCCATCGTACCGGAACAAGGATAAACCCATCAACCGTCTCGAAAGGCAGCAATGAAAATAGTACTGTAAGTGTTAAGAATCGTTACGAATAGTTTTATTTTGAATTTGCAACATTGTTGAATTTATTACGTTCGATTACCCAAGGTTGAAAATTACCTATTTATTGAATTTCCCAACGTAGAATCGTTCCGGGATAATTATTTTGATTAAATTTTAGTCTCCAAGTTTAACTTGGCAATATTTAAAACAAAAAATAATTGTGTTTGAACTTCTTATAAATTTATTTGCTTTTTCTTAAAACCTAAAATAATGGCAACTCAATCAGACGAACCTAGTACAATGCTGGAAGTTGAACCTTATAAACTTTCGGAAATTTTCTGTATCGTACCTGAATTTGAGGGTGACCAAATCTTTTTAGGAAATTTTATAAACGCGTGTGATTGTGCTTATAATATGGCAACAACGCAACAAAAAATTCTTTTAGTGATTCACATTAAAAATAAGCTCCGCGGTAAAGCAGCTCAATTAATTAATTCTAGGAATCCTGATTCATATCTAGAAATAAAGAAACTATTAACTCTACACTTTGGTGATTCTAGAGATTTACCTTCCCTAATTCATGACCTTCAACGTCTTAAACAATTGCCCAATAAATCAGCATTAACATTTTTCAATCGTCTTCAAGTCCTAAATGCGAAAATGCATTCATGTGTTCAAAAATCCACCACATTAGGATCCAAAGAGCAAAAGGATGCTCAGATATCTTTAATTGAGACTATGACCCTTAATACACTTCTTACAGGTTTAGAACCTAGATTAGGTCAATTCATTCGTGCTAGTAATCCCACTTCACTTTTAGAAGCCCAAGCAAGGATTCGTCGAGAACTCCAACTCTCATATTTTGAAAATCAAAAATCTGTCAAATTAAATTCTCCTAAATCGCATTCTGCGAATATTCGAACCCCTCTTCAGCAACCTAAATGCACTTTGTGTAATAAAATTGGCCATACTTCAAATCAATGTAGAAGTACGCATGTCAAACCAAATTTTTCGCAATATCCACAGCGACCTTCTAATTGGTTCCAACAAAACAACATTAGCAACAATTCGAATCCAATACCGATAAAATCTTCAAACTCTTATCCTAAGCCACATTTTATGAATCCAAACCCGCAGCGAACTCATCATGTAAACTCAAACCCGATCTACATCGACGGTTATTCCGGAAATTCCCAGGAATTTTCACATGAAAATTACACTCTTCAAGAAGATAATGAATTTCAAAATCATTATTCTAACCATCCAGAAAACTGCGAACCAGAGCAGGATTTTCAAGAAAGCCCTTACGATATCCCACCAGACGAAATGTCTCCAAACCCGATTTTCGAAATCAATTCCCAAATTCAAACCCTGAATTTAGACAACATGAATCCCAATCTAAACTTTCCAGAACAGAACTTCTGTTAAACCCTCTTCTTACGGTAAATTCTAAAAATTTATACTATATTTTTGACGCTACGCAAAAATTCAAAATATTAATAGATACAGGCGCAGGTATTTCTATCTTTAAATAAAAAACCGCTGAAAATTACATAACACGAGTTAAGGAAAATATTACCATCCAAGGTATAACAAATCAAACACTTTTTATTAAAGAATCCACACTTATTCCATTCACCGATAACGACAAACATAAAGTCTATCTTTACGATCTTGACATCGAATTTGACGGAATTCTCGGTTTAGATTTTCTTGATCGCTACCAATGTAGAATCGATTTAAAGTCCAAAAAACTTATAACGAATTTTAAAACAATGCCTTTGCATAAAGTAGGACACGAATCTGTTCTTCCCAAAATTTGTAAAAAACCTGAACAAAATATTCAAAATCGAATTTCAATCGAACCTAGGACCGAAAGAATTTTCAAATTAAAATGTAGTTTAACAAACACAGACGCTATTCTCCACTCTCAAGAATGTGAAAAAGTTAGGTTACCTAATGCTTTAGTTAAAGTAAATAACAAAGGTGAATTTTTTACTACTGTTATTAACGCTAATGCTATCCCAAAAACTATAGATTTTTCAAATTTATCTATCGAACCTTTTAATACAAATCTTAACGAAAAAGAAATAAATAATATTTTCAATTTAAATCCTCAACCTGTTGATAGGCGCGGTATAATTCAATCCCAGTTACGCACCGATCATTTAAACGAAGAAGAAAAAGAATTAATAACACAATTATGTCTTGATTTTTCTGATATATTCTATTTAGAAGGAGATCATTTAAGTTTTACTAATGAAATTAAACATACTATTGAAACGAACAACGCCAGACCGATTTTTACAAAATCATATAGGTACCCACATGTCCACAAACAAGAAGTAAAGTCACAAATCAACAAAATGCTCGAACAAGGAATCATTCGACCTTCCACTTCTCCATGGTCTTCCCCTGTTTGGGTTGTCCCAAAAAAATTAGACGCTTCTATGAAACAAAAATGGCGCGTAGTCATCGACTATCGCAAACTAAATGAAGTCTCTGTCGACGATAAATACCCTCTTCCCAATATTTCCGATCTCTTAGACCAGTTAGGCAGATGTCAATATTTCACTACTTTGGACCTAGCCTCTGGGTTTCACCAAATTGAAATTGATCCCAAGGACGTTGCTAAAACTGCATTTTCAGTTGAAAATGGTCATTTTGAATTTCTCCGTTTACCCTTCGGACTAAAAAATTCTCCATCCACTTTCCAACGTGTCATGGACAACATTCTCTTAGGTCTTCAAAACGAACGATGTCTCGTTTACATGGACGATATTATCGTTTATTCCGCTACCATACACGAACATATACAAAGGTTAACTGATGTCTTTAAACGCCTTCGTGGTGCAAACCTCAAACTCCAACCTGACAAGTGTGAATTTCTTCGAAAGGAAGTAGCTTATTTAGGGCATCTCGTGACCCCAGATGGAGTCAATCCCAACCCTGAGAAAATAGACGCTATTCAAAAAATT